CGCGTGTCTATTTATAAACAATTATCAGAGCCATTCGCCCTGCCAATCTCTGTGAACGTTTGTTCTGTGTAAATAGAGGCAAAAAGGAACGTCCTCAGTCTATTTTCTTTTTAGATCAAATGTAATGAAATAAAGCATTAAGGTCACTAGATAGAGCCGAGGAGCATAGGAAGTAAATATTAGGGCTGCGAAAATTAACGATTAATCCCTCGTTTAATTGTTAATTTTTTTGATCGATCAAAATAATTTTGATATTCGAAATTAATCGATTAAAAAAAATTTCGATTAATCGAACAGGAAATTTTTAATCATTACCAGCCCTAATAAATATGTATTTCCTATGCTCATTGGCTGCATCTGGTGGTGAATGGCTCTGTGAATAGTTTATAAATAGACACCTAGGAAATAAAAGTGTACACTCTTTTTGTACTGAAATACGTTTACATGGAATATTATGAGTGTGTTTGTACCTTTTCTATCTCCGGTTGTTGTTTATTATATTGGGTGAACACACCACATGAATGTACGTGCCCAGTTAAGGGGTGGAGTGAGTATATTTTTTATAATATACAATACGGTAGTACTTGACAAAAGCCTTATGGTATGTAGACAAAAGAGACAGTTCCGAAGCCAAAAGGCTAAGGGCTGGGAGTCATGGAAAGCTTTTTAGGCAATTATAGGACCTTCACAAACACTTAAAATTGTATAAAAATATCATATTTTTATTAAAATATTAAACATTAAAAATACAAAAACATAAAAACATATATGCATGTTGGTGCTCAGCTTAAACTTGATAAGCATAAACCTCATATACTCATATACTCATATACAAAGTTATAGTCAGTGAGTCCTTAGTTGGAGTCGATGGATGGTTACTGTTGTGGAAAGTTTTCCACAACAGTAACCATCCATTGACTCCAACTAAGGACAACGTTTCCACAACAGTAACAGTCCATTGACTCCAACTAAGGACAACGTTTCCACAACAGTAACAGTCCATTGACTCCAACTAAGGACAACTTTTTCACAACATTAACAGTCCATTGACTCCAACTATGGACAACTTTTCCACAACAGTAACAGTCCATTGACTCCAACTAAGGACAACGTTTCCACAACAGTAACAGTCCATTGACTCCAACTATGGACAACTTTTCCACAACAGTAACAGTCCATTGACTCCAACTAAGGACAACTTTTCCACAACAGTAACAGTCCAACTAAGGACAACTTTTTCACAACAGTAAGCCCTCAAGGGCAGGGCCCTCCTTACCATCTTGTCTTAAATTGTATTGTGACTGTAATGTCTTCCTTATATTGTAAAGCGCTGTGCAAACTATTGGCGCTATATAAATCCTGTATAATAATAATAATAACAATAACAGTAACAGTCCATTGACTCCAACTAAGGAACAACTTTTCCACAACAGTAACAGTCCATTTACTCCAACTAAGGACAACTTTTCCACAACAGTAACAGTCCATTGACTCCAACTATGGACAACTTTTCCACCACAACAGTAACGTCCATTGACTCCAACTATGGACAACTTTTCCACCACAACAGTAACGTCCATTGACTCCAACTATGGACAACTTTTCCACCACAACAGTAACAGTTCATTGACTCCAACTATGGACAACTTTTCCACAACAGTAAGGCCCCATTCACACATAGCGATATATTGCGCGATTTCCGCCGCGATATCGCGAGAAGTTGCCGGCCAATGATATTCAACGGAGCTGTCTTAGCTCCGTGTCGCTCGTCGCGGTCGCAGATCGCTTCTACCGGACCCTTTTTTCTGCGGATTTTGCGCGATTTGTCTTTTTTCTATGGAGCCCGACGGAGAAGGTCGCGCTACCGTCGCTGGATCGTCGCCCCGAAAGTCGCGCTATCCCGGCCGCTGCAAAGGTAAGTCGCTACATGTGAATGGGGGCTAACAGTCCATTTACTCCAACTAAGGACAACTTTTCCACCACAACAGTAAATCGACTCCAACTATGGACAACTTTTCCACAACAGTAACAGTCTATTTACTCCAACTAAGGACAACTTTTTCACCACAACAGTAACAGTCCATTGACTCCAACTAAGGAACAACGTTTCCACAACAGTAACAGTCCATTGACTCCAACTAAGGACTCACTGACCATAACTTGTCATCATCTCTGTATATAAGTATATGAGGTTTATGCTTACCAAGTTTAGGCTGAGCACCAACCTGCATATGTTTTTATGTTTTGTATTTTTTTTTCAAATACATTTTTATTAGAAATGTTTGTCAAATAAAAGTCTCAAAACATGAAACATTAACACAAAACATGTACCAAGGAAAGGCATCAGGAAGAAAACAAAATAAAAGAAAAGAGCAGTATGTTGGTGAATGCCATAAGGGCCTTGCTGGTTGCCCTACATATCTGGTTACAAGTTGTGTGTGAAAGCATCAGATTAGGTGGTTTCTAAGAATCCAAGATCGTTAGATAATTGAAAAGTGTTTTGTATTTTATATGTCTTTAATAAAATATGATATTAAGTGTCTGTGAAGATCCTATAATTGCCTAAATAGCCCTCAACGACTCCGAGCCCTTAGCCTTTTGGCTTCGGAACTGTCTCTTTTGTCTACATATTTGCTTTATGGGTGTGGCTGTAGGACCTTCCCCTCTTGAACATAATTCTATTACTAAAAGCCTTATGGTAGACAATACATGACACTGTCAAATAGGAGTGGTGGCATGGCAGACTGAGTGGTATGGTTAGCACGCTTTGGGGGCAGAATCCCAGGTATCTGTGGAATTCATTTAGAAATATTGTAAAGTATTTTGGGCAGGTCCTCAGACCATTCCTAAAAGTATTTTCTGTGCTTTTGTCCCCCAGCGATATCTCTCCACTGAAGAATTTCTGCGTCTTTTTGGTATGCCTGTGGAAGAGTTCGTGAAGTTGCCATTGTGGAAGAAGAATGAGATCAAACGGAAACTACTTCTCTTTTAAGTCTTCTAGGAAAAACCTGCCCCCCTTTCAACCCACGGGAAGAGTGGGGCCAACGGGGTTATATAATCAGAAGGACTCTTGTTCCATTGCCTTGTGATGGGATTAAAAAAAGTTTGACTGGCATGTCTGATATGGGTGACGTCACGGGGCTAGAAATCAAACCCGAACTTACATCAAACGCCAATCATGGAGCCCAGATCAAGCACCACGGGAAACCCCAGATTCTCATTTAGGACCAAATCAATATACACAATCTATCTTTTCATTATGTAAGTTCAGTCTTCACGATAGAATGGGGTCACTTATACACAATAGATACTCTATAGAATTCTGTAATGGCAGATCACTAATTACACAGCAGGTACACCGTACGCTACAGGCGGCGAGGACATTTGTACACACCATATGCTTTACACTAATGTATATAACCCTCCTGTACATAGTAGATGACATGCACAGCTACTCACACTGACATATCGAATCACCTATAGCCTTTAGGGTCTCTCTTCACACTTACATTTCCAATAAGGACCGCCTCTATCGCTCCACAGCTCCCCCAGATCAGAGATATACGACGCAGGCTTTGTACTCCCAACTGTACACTATCATTAGTGAGTAGGAGCAGAGGTGCTACCGATCCCTTTGTTATATGCTGCCAGTGCTGTGTGCGTGTGTTTATGGGTGAGTGCTTTCAGTTTCCTGCATCCCTGTCTTTCAGTGAACAACATGGCAGATTTCCCAAAATAAAAAAAATGGCAGCTTATTTCATCCTCACCTGCTGCGAGTGGCTTGTGACATGCTGGATTTTTTGGTACATGTTTTTTTCCTTGCAACAGCTGTTCAGACTTATTGCCCACAGACATGTTGCAGACCCTTCATATCTATGTTTACGTGTACATGTACTGATGCCTTTCTCATTAAAGTGTACCTGTCACGTATACATGCCAAAGGCATCTTTGTATGAATTACAGCCACTGTGCTCTGTGCAGCCACTATGGAGCTAAGGAGAAAGGGATCCAGTATAAGATCCATCACTGCTCTCTAACTCATTGCATCCTCCATAGTCCTAAGACAGAGTTTTATATGGCACTGTTGGCCAACTGGACACCCAATACTGCAGCAGATGAAGGGCTACGCAACATGCAGGCTGCTGAACCAGCCTCCTCTGTACCATTCCGGCTGTACTGATGTGGAAGGTTTCGCCACTGGCCACTAGTGGAAGGGTTTACCACTGGCCACTTGTGGAAGGGTTTACCACTGGCCACTGGTGGAAGGGTTTACCACTGGCCACTGGTGGAAGTGTTCGCCACTGGCCACTGGTGGAAGGGTTCACCACTTGACTGGCATGTCTGATATGGGTGACGTCACGGGGCTAGAAATCAAACCCGAACTTACATCAAACGCCAATCATGGAGCCCAGATCAAGCACCACGGGAAACCCCAGATTCTCATTTAGGACCAAATCAATATACACAATCTATCTTTTCATTATGTAAGTTCAGTCTTCACGATAGAATGGGGTCACTTATACACAATAGATACTCTATAGAATTCTGTAATGGCAGATCACTAATTACACAGCAGGTACACCGTACGCTACAGGCGGCGAGGACATTTGTACACACCATATGCTTTACACTAATGTATATAACCCTCCTGTACATAGTAGATGACATGCACAGCTACTCACACTGACATATCGAATCACCTATAGCCTTTAGGGTCTCTCTTCACACTTACATTTCCAATAAGGACCGCCTCTATCGCTCCACAGCTCCCCCAGATCAGAGATATACGACGCAGGCTTTGTACTCCCAACTGTACACTATCATTAGTGAGTAGGAGCAGAGGTGCTACCGATCCCTTTGTTATATGCTGCCAGTGCTGTGTGCGTGTGTTTATGGGTGAGTGCTTTCAGTTTCCTGCATCCCTGTCTTTCAGTGAACAACATGGCAGATTTCCCAAAATAAAAAAAATGGCAGCTTATTTCATCCTCACCTGCTGCGAGTGGCTTGTGACATGCTGGATTTTTTGGTACATGTTTTTTTCCTTGCAACAGCTGTTCAGACTTATTGCCCACAGACATGTTGCAGACCCTTCATATCTATGTTTACGTGTACATGTACTGATGCCTTTCTCATTAAAGTGTACCTGTCACGTATACATGCCAAAGGCATCTTTGTATGAATTACAGCCACTGTGCTCTGTGCAGCCACTATGGAGCTAAGGAGAAAGGGATCCAGTATAAGATCCATCACTGCTCTCTAACTCATTGCATCCTCCATAGTCCTAAGACAGAGTTTTATATGGCACTGTTGGCCAACTGGACACCCAATACTGCAGCAGATGAAGGGCTACGCAACATGCAGGCTGCTGAACCAGCCTCCTCTGTACCATTCCGGCTGTACTGATGTGGAAGGTTTCGCCACTGGCCACTAGTGGAAGGGTTTACCACTGGCCACTTGTGGAAGGGTTTACCACTGGCCACTGGTGGAAGGGTTTACCACTGGCCACTGGTGGAAGTGTTCGCCACTGGCCACTGGTGGAAGGGTTCACCACTGGCCACTGGTGGAAGGGTTCACCACTGGCCACTGGTGGAAAGGTTGGCCACTGGTAACTATTGACGTAAGTAACACTCAATGTTTTGCCGCTAATTCTGGTAAATTGACATCTGAATGGTGTTTCTGCCTGTGGTGTGAATACGTTACTGGTCTTCTTAATCTTCACCAAAGTTATGTCATATACATATCTCATTTCCAACTGCACTCTCCCTATATATTACATGCCTCTTTTTCTGATTCCATAATGTAACCCCATTCCGTGTCTCTTGTCCCATGTGTTCCATGTGTCTCCTGACTTGTCCTTGTTAATATTACCTTCACCATACCCTTATGGGGCACGCTAATGTTTTATTTTCACTCATTCCTACACGTGTCCAGTGTCTACCTTCTATGTTCAAGCTTTTCCTTCTTTTTTTTTTTTGGCTTCTGATGTATAATTATTAATATTATTATAATTATTAAAGGTAACTGAATATTATGATCTGCTGTGTACACTGTTTTTGTGATAAACCAGAGTGGGAAAGGCCAAGTGAAGTGGTTGAGGTTGGGATGTCCATTTGCCATATTAAAAAAGAGAAGTAAAGCCAAACCTGTTTTTTGGGCTTTACTTCTCTTTTGGGTCACAGGAGTACATTTAGTAATGTACTCCTGTGACCCAAAGTCACCATATAGCTGGCTGCTGCCCACTATCTGCTAACAGCACAGAGCCGTGCCGCATCCAGGAAAGATCCCAACAATATCGTTAGGATTCACCCAGCTGCCTGATTGACAGCTGGCCCTGCCTCTGTAGAGCCATAGCCAACTGTGCTAGCCCCCTCCCCTGTCTGAAGGCTGGAGGAACAGAGAATGGGGAGGGAGGAATCACTGTAGGGAGCCGTGACTGACAGTCATGGCTCCCTGCAGTGAGAAGCCGTAAGCCATTAGGGGTTACACGGTCGCTCAACTCTCAGTACAGAGCTGACGTATGATTGCTGCAGTGTCCAATGCCGGCTCTAAGTATATTTTAGGCTAGGTTCACACCTAGGCGATTGCGCAGTTGTCGCACGTTTTTGTTTGGGCAATTTTGCAAGGAAAACTGCGCGGTTGTTGCGCGTTTTTCAATGCCTAGAGATATCTATGAGACCCAAACTGCGCCACAACCGCCCGACAAAAGCGCTTCAGAACCTTTTTGTGCGACAGGCGATTTCTAACGCGTGACAAATCGCAAAGGTGTGAACTGTTTCCATAGACTTGAATGGAAATCTGTTCCGTGTGATATCGCACAGATAAATCGCTTAGGTGTGATCCTAGACTTACTCTCCCAATACTTTTCCATTAAGTGGGAGTAGGGCAAAGTGGAACACTGGGAGCAAGAGTCATGAGGAACACGGGATTTAGGGGAGGTTTGTAGCTGTTTATCTAAATCTTGGACTGGATTAGGAAATAATAGCCACTGATATCATTACTATGGTAACTAACTATAGGTAAAGCAGCCTTTCTCAACCAGGAAGATGTGGCACCCTGCATCACAGCATCATACCATTCTATTGTGAAGGGGACATCTGATGTGAAAGGAGGGGACTCTGACATGAAGGGGGCTCCTGATGTAACGGGGGCATTCTCATGTGAAGGGGGAACCCCTTTTTTGTGTCTTTGCATGGGGTCCCCGTTACGATTCATACCATGAATAGGAACAAAATGTTCAGACCTCCAGTAGCAGTGGTACTCAAAACCGCAAACGTGTGAACATATATGAAAAATTGTCACGATTTTATTGCACTTCATAATTAAACTAAAATATGATAAACATGATATAAAACCTCCTTCCTAAAAAACATATAAAAATATCCCCAGCATGCCTGTGCCATCCAATAATTACTAATATTTCTAGGATGCTATATATCCTGGGGTAGCAAATGATATCTCTAGAAATATAATTTGTTTGCAAACAGGGAAGGACGTGAAGTCCTATTGGAAATGGTGAAACAACTGATGTGTATCTCAATACAAATACAATACAAATCAATAAACTAAACGTGAGATTGTAGTCCATCACAGGAGCGAGCTTGGAGTGGTGACTACTTTACAACACACACAGGGACCATGAGGAACAAAAGTAGCCCCCTCCAGAAGGAAGGACAGTGTCAGCACCAATTCAGAGATGATTGGAGGATCTACAGCCGAGTGATACACAAATAAGTTTCAAAGTGAAATCAGAGGGACAAACTGAGAGACAGACTGAGCTGCATCCCAATAACATACAACGCTTCTAAGTCTTTAACCCTTTGTTAGGACAGATAATGAAATCTGCCAGCATAGTACAGACAGGGTTAAAGGAGAACTATGGGGTCAGGGCTTTTCCCCATAGTTCTCCTAAGGGTCACGGGAGGACACAAACTAGCGTTCTCCCATGACCCAAAGCTCAGTATACCGCGAGCTTCAGCTTGCTGTATACTCAGACGCCGCAGCCGGAACGGATCCCGATATTGCTGTCGAGATCCACCCAGCTGCGGGATTGACAGCTGGCTCTGCCTATCCACAGGCAGAGTCAGCTGTGCCCGCCCCCTCCTCCGTCCGTTCCACCAGTCAGCGCTGGAGGATCGCACAGGGGAGGGGGGCAATCCCTGCAGGGCGCCGTGAGTAGCAGTCACGGCTCTCTGTAGGGATAGATCGAGAAGTGAGCGAGCGCTGGTATGTATTCGCTCAATTCCCGATCTACTGAGCCGACCTGTGACAGTTTCATTGTCACAGGTCGGCTCAGATTATGAGGCTGAGTGAAAATCACTCTCCTCATAATTCTCCTTTAATTAAAGTAAACATAAATTCCCACATCCCCCTCCATAACTTATTATTTTTAAGTAAAAAGCACTAAAAAATGTAACCAGCACATTTTTTTAAGCTATGCTCTGTGAATTAGAGCATATAAATTAATATAAAATAGGTGTTATTCTATTTTAGCTGCAACAGTGGAAATCCTCCCCAGCTTCCCCCCCTATGCAATGTTAAGGAGGAGGCTATGGGAAGTTATGTTTACCCTACTTACCCCTGTCTGTACTGTGCTGGAAGATTTCCCTATCAGTTGTGCATGGATACATACAATGAACAAACAAGGCTTTTTCTTGGCGATATTGTCTTGCAAAATTATTTTTGTATGCCATCTATAGACAAAAGATAAATATAGATAAAAAGTCTGAAAAAAAGGATCAAAAATTATTATCAGAAAAAATATAAAAAGGGGTTTGGGGGGTACATACTTGTTGAAGTTCTTCAGATAATGCGATGCAGGCATGTCAAGCTCTGATGAAAGAGTGGGCCAGACTGAGAGGTCTACATTTCCAAGGGGTGCTTAATGTCTGCTGTAGTAGGCTGCATTACATCTGCGGAGGGCCACAACTTCTCA